AATTTTTTGCAACATTGGGACAGATAAGTCATCGCTTAGCGCATGCTTAAAGCGATTTAAGTGCAAATCATGAACTACTTTATGTCACGGACGTATAAGCGGATGGATGCTGTTCAGCAAATCCACTCTGCCTACCTTTTTTTGAGATTGTACTTATAACTCTGTATTCATTCTGCTTCGCACAATGAATACAAAAATCAATCAGCAGCTACGAATATGTTGATCGATCTATGTCCGATTTGAAATTTTCTGTTGTTTTTTTTCTTTTCAGACGCCGTGCGTATTTGGCGTATCGGTAGACCTGAATAGAACTGGACGGCTAGATCAAGGGTCATGTTCTAATCGTCTTGCTTTATAATAACCAGACTTCATCGTTACTCAGCAGTGCAATAATTTAACATTTGTGCTTTGATTATTTACGCATCAAATGTTATATCTGTGTATAGGGCAACAAAATCAAAAAGGTTTTTTTTGAAAAAAAATATTTTAAAAATTTTATATTTTTTTTTTCAAACTCCCACGTGTTTTCGTACATTTCCTTTGCTATTTAAAATGGGGAAAAATTTTCCCCCAAGCCCCTTTGCCAAAACATATATAGATCATTTTCCTTTTTTCGACAGGGTTCATCCAAATAAAGTATTGATTTTTTTTCACCCAAAACTCCGCCCCATTTAATTGTTGCATTTGCATAAAAATTGAAAACAACGAGAAATTTTTTGGGGGGGAAACGATTAGATATAATGTATCTCTTTCTATACATTTTTAAATCAATATTCCCTTCAAAAACCATGAAGGAACGCAAAAGCATGAGAACAAAGATCAACAAGGCAACATTAATATAAAAACTGCCCCCGACACAACAAGCCACACTCACAGTTTATTCAGAAGGCACCAAACTAAAACATGGGAAATGACACAAGAACGGAAACCAGTTTTAGCAAATTTTGTTACTGACAGCTTATTAATGATTATGTAGAGTACAAACATCAAAGTCTTATTAACCTTACAAATTATATATTCAGCGTTCAAAGAAATGGCATGTATTAATATCAAATATCTGAGATTTTCTATACGTCCTCTCATCTGTTAGAATTATAGAACTGGTACAGGGGAGATAACCTATACAGAAAGACACAAAGTTAATGCAATGGTTATCCTATCGCTGGCTATGCTATTTGTTAATCGCTGAGAGAATAGTATGAGATATTGTATTAAGTAACATTATAAGCTTTTATCATTTTCAGAATCAAAGGTGTTTAAGATAAATAATTTAGCATGTTTCATTAATTTATAATTTTATATGATATATACATTCATTAATTGAACGAATAGATCAGTAGGTATATAGGTATAATGAAAAGTTAAGCGTGGCACTCTCTTAAAGATAAGAAGAAAGCAATATGTTTATTATATACTTATAAATGAAATATTGAGAAATATTGATGAAATAAAATGTGTAATTTCATTTTCCGTATTTTCACTGTAAAAATTTATTTTTCACTGCAGTGAGACGTATTTTCCGTATTTTCACTGGTGTATTGCCGAACTACTTTCTTTTGAATTCTGCCAGTACACAAAATTTAGGGGAAAGTCTTTCAAATTTTAATGTCAAAAAAGAGAAAAATGTATATAGTAAACAGAAAATTCAAGTTTTTTCTATAAATACATGATTTATTTCCATCTTGTGGCATGAAAATTACCATATTTCACTCATGGCTACCGCCACTCATGAAATATTTATTTTCATACCACTCGATGAAAATGTATCATGTATTTATAGAAAAAACTTGAATATCCTCTATTTATTACATGCTTTTCAGTGGTTCATAGAAATATATCAGTGAAATAAAAACTGATAATTTCACTGTTTTAAACAGTGAAATTATTAATTTGATATTTATTTCACTTTTTGAATGTAAGCCTCTCACGTTGTTTCAGTGTAATACAAGCGTTCACAGTACTGGAAACCAACTTAATGACGTGACGTCGTATATGACGTCACGTTGTATTATTATTTGGCGCGCTTATATTAAGTATTAGGCTAAATGTTTTTTCAAACGTTGAGCTGGGCATATAATAAAAAGAAAATTTGTTTAGTTCAGACTAAGATTGAAATATATTTCACCTCGTGAACACCAAACGTTCATATTTCACTCGTAGCTGCACCACTCGTGAAATATTCCTTTTTGTGCTCACTCGGTGAAATATATTCCGATCTAACACCGAACTAAACAAATATCCTTTATGACTTTAGGATATGTCAATTGATAAAGTACTTTTCGAAATATGTAATGTTCTTATACAGATATTTGACGAGGAATATTCAGGTTGCATAGGACAAAATAAGGAAATAGTTCTGTAAATGATTATCTGTGATACAAACACATATATGTATGTGTATTTATAATATACTTATAAATGAAATATTTAGAAATATTGATGAAATAAAATGCGTATTTTCATTTTCCGTATTTTCTCTGTAAAAATTTATTTTTCACTGCAGTGAAACATATTTTCCGTATTTTCACTGGTGTCTTGCCGGACTACTTTCTTTTAAATTCTGCCAGTTCACAAAATTTAAGGGAAAGTCTTTCAAATTTTAATGTCAAAAAAGAGAAAAATGTATATAATAAACAGAAAAAACAAGTTTTTTCTATAAATACATGTTTTATTTTCATCTTGTGGCATGAAAATTACCATATTTCACTCGTGGCTACCGCCACTCATGAAATATTTATTTTCATACCACTCGATGAAAATAAATCATGTATTTATAGTAAAAACTTGAATATCCTCTATATATTAAGAGGATATGTTTTCGTTTGAGTGAAATATGGAATATATTTTCACGAAACATGATACAATGTCACATATTTTCAGGAGCCGGGACATTATCACAATATTCGGAATATTTTAATTATATTGCTTTAAACTATGCAAGCGGTAAGCAGACCGCTGTATTTTGTGGAATGCCTTAGTATGACTTGCTTGTCCGGTTTCAAAGTTGAATTTTGCTCTTTTAGTCATAGATCTAAATATAGATATTGTATGCGTAGCTGTAGTTTAATAGAAAAAGAAATCTCATTCAGTTTGTAAAGTGGAAGAAAGGATATACTAGATTATGAAACTGGTACTTTTGGGCCTCTGTCTAGTTCGGATCATCAATATCATTATCAGTTTTTTTAAATATTGAAATAAAACAACTCTGTAAATAGTTTACAATTACTGTATTGAAATTTCAAATTAATATAAATTTTAAGGAAAAAGTTTTTAGAATAAAATTATTTGTCTATATTTATTTTTTGTTCGTATTTCCTTATGACTATCTTATTAACATTTACAACAATGTTTTAGTGTAGAGCTTATTACGTCACGGAAATAAACGAATAATATCTCGAAAGTTCAGTAAAAAGAAGTTTATTTAAGCAAATCATGTTAGAATTATATCAGCGCTTAAATGATACACATTTTTGAACTTCATATACATATTTAACATTAAACTATCTGTACCGATACTCGACAATTATTTCCAATTAAATGGTCTGTAAATACAATTAACGAGAGAAATTCACAAATTATTAAGAACTAACAAAATCGGATGAGTTCATATGACGAATACTCTTCTCGACTGTCAGAACAGAACAGAACATATCTTTATTTACTCAAGATACATATTGATATCATAGGAACTCTGGAACAGGACCGCATATTGCGGCGCATAAATCCGAATCCGTACCAGCTTTACATATTGTTTGTCCGACCTTTGAATATCTTTTTATATTATACGAGCGGATGGTCTTTAATTATCTTATCTCAATTTAATAGCGAGCTCGACGAGCTGGCCCGAAGGGCCTGCTCGCAAAGCGAGCTTTACGGTAACGCGAGTACCTGCTAAGTGATGGTTTTGAAAACTTTCGTCCGAGTTACCGAATTGGACACATCGCAACCTTTCGAATTTAAAGATAACGATAAAAACTGAGGAATTCTGACTGAAAACGGATGTGTAGACTGGTCACCCGCGCACCATAATTGGACAGGGAACCAGAATAACGGAAGCTGCCGATAAAATATCGAACGGAAATGAAAATTGAAGGCGCCATTTTGTTTGAAAAATCTGATAAATTAAAACAATTTTTTGTCGAATTTTGTTGTGAAAAATATCTAGAATGAAAGAAAATGATCTAACTAAGAAAATGAATCCGAACACCAATATCTTTTATTCAGTCGTTAACGCTGAACGGACGTTTAAAGTATTGTTTACATGACGTCACAATGTAGCGCCAAACAGCACGTGCAAAACAATTTTAATGTCGCAAACGTTTTAAGTTTTACATTTATTTCACTTTTAACAATCTTTATTTCGCTTGAAAAATTCTAGATCTAGAGTGAAATAGAATAAACAAAGTTTTATCAACGTTTTTAAAACTCGTTATTCATTTAACGACAGGGGCGGAGCCATATATTTAACACAGTACGTGTAACGTCACGCGCACTCGTCACTGCATTTGAAATAAAAATGAGCGATTATTTCTTATTATTTCATGATAAAAGTACATCGAGCTCGCTTTGAGGCTTTGCCTTTTTCATATTATAATCTACTAATTTAAAAATCTGTCAATTTTACGGTATATTGAAAAAGAAAAGGAGTGACATCCGCCATTTGCCCCAACGTTCGGCGTAAGTTACCCCCCTTGATATGCTTGATTTTTGTTTTAATTTTTCTAGTACTCTCTTTATGTCACTCAAAACATGGGTTTCCTAATAAGGAATACCAGATTAGTGCCTTGAATATATATATATATATCTATGGATCATGTTTTAATATTCCTTTTTTCAGTTAGGCAAAATCTATTAGACCATATTACTAAAGTGTCTGTTTTCTCCATGTAAACAAATCATAACACGAATACGCCCGTTTTAATGCCGACTATACTGTCCTAGGATGATAACTTGAGCCTTTGTTTACATAACAAAGACCAATAACAATGCGAAAAAAGGTAAGGCAGATTAATGCCGCAAACTATAAAAATGCAAATTAAACTACATGTTATCATATGTCTTGTTAGCGCAGTCGGTAGAGGGACCGTGTCAGTAATATGTTATAACCGTACAGGCAGAAGTTCGACTCCTGGTAAGCAGATAAGACACTTTTTATTTTTCTTAGAACAGTAAAATGTTCAGAAAACAGGTTTGACCGGTTTTTTCATATACATACATGAATATGAGATCGAATATTTTATTACACAAGTTGATTAACAATTGCGTAAAGTTTAGAAAAAATGTCAGAAATGTCTAGAGAAAGTAAAAAGAAAACTGACGACATTATTAGAAATGTTTTAAAGGTTGAAAGAAATAAATAATATTGCATATTGAACTATTTAAAAAAAATTGTCATATAGTTTTTCGTTTACGTTTCTTTTCCTTTATTCTTTTACATATATTTTTTTTTATTTTGTATTTCATCTAATATATTTCAATTCTTTTAACAGGTATGCAAAGAAGAGAAGAAGGCAGGTACTTTGCAAATTCCTATTGTACAGGCAACAGCAAGAGCAGCACATTACACAGGTGTCAGCATTTCAAGATGCAAAAGAATAGGAAGGTGGGTCAAAGTTAAGAGCAGTCGTAAGTCGAGAAAGGATCGTTATCATACAGATGACTTTGACAGAGACGTTATCCGCAGAACTGTGCACTCAATGATGGCAACGGGACGTGCTCCGACTGCTAAAGCTATCTTGCGGGCGGTAAAAGAGAAAATTGACTTTCCTGGAAAAGTTGATTACATTCAGAGGATTTTGAAAGAAATTGGCTTTGTTTGGAAGAAATGTGAGTCAAATCGATCCGTTTTAATGGAAAGATGGGATGTTGTTGTGGCGAGAATCAATTTTTTGCGGAAAATGAAAGAATACAGGGATTCTGGTCGACACATCATATACACTGACGAGACATTTGTGCACTCATCACACTGTGTAAAGAAATGCTGGCAGTCCAATGATGTTAGCATGAAAGTTCCATTCAGCAGAGGTGAATGATTGATTGTTGTTCATGCTGGTTCTGCCCAAGGGTTTGTTAAAGGAGCCTGTCTACAGTTTAAAGCAAAATCATCAACTGGGGATTATCATTCAGAAATGAATGGTAAAAATTTTAACAAATGGCTGAATGAGATGCTGATTCCAAACCTACCACCATCATCTGTAGTTGTTGTAGATAACGCTCCTTACCACAATCTGCAGGAAGATAAGTGTCCAACACAAAGCACAAGGAAAGCTGAAATACAAGATTGGCTTCAAAGACACAACATTGCTTTTAACCAGAAAATGTTAAAAGCAGAATTGCTTGATATGTGTAAGAGGAACAAACCCGAGCCAGTTTACATACTTGACTCAACTTTGGAGAGACACGGGCATACTTGTATTCGTCTACCCCAATACCACGCAGAGTTAAACGCAATTGAGCTAATATGGGCATTAGTTAAAGGAAAGGTTTCCTCAGAAAATGTGACTTTTAAGATGACAGATGTCTTGAAGCTGACACAAAATGCTATTGATAATATAACCACCGAAGAATGGAAATCATGTTGCAGACATGTTGAACAGGTGGAAGCGCGTTTTTGGAGAAGCGATATAGCTTTAGAAGAAGCGATTGAACGTATAATCATACACGTGAGTGACGATGAAGAAACCGACACTGCTTCAGAAGTGGGCGAAATTTGTTCTGAAGAGGAAAGTACAGACACAGCATCTGAAACTGATACAATTATGTAATATGTATATAATGAAAATCTATGTATTATCACATGCATTGTTTAATAAAAGATAAAGTTTACAAAAAAGAAAATAGAATAGAAATAAAAAAATAAATGTATACTGTAAAATATATTATCATAAAAAGAAAACAAAAAGGAAAATGAAGAAAAAAATGATAATAAAAAAACAAATCAAGAAAAAAACTGTGGTTTTAAAATTGCACTATTGGAGGCTCGAACCTATGAGTACAAAACACTAAAAGTTAAATTTACTTCGATTTACCAGCAGAGCCATAACGGTAATACACAAACGATACTATAAGAATAATGCTATATAGTATATGTAAGTGTTTACTTTTACAATATCGGATAATAATCTAGATAACCCTGTTTTTGGACTATCCCATGTACCGTTAAGACCAAATTATCATCGTAGGACAGTACATGTCAAACACTAGTGTAAACATTAAACCGTTACGATACATGATAGTTGACAACGATAACGGGAACAAACTTCTGAAAAAAGAGTAATCAAGTATAGCCAAAGGGAGAAAACTCATGCCGAACGTTGCGGCAAATGGCGGATGTCATTCCTTGTCTTTTTTATAATACCGTAAAAATTGACCAGTTTTAAAAGTAACAGATTGGGTTCAAGTGATAATATATTGTTTGAGACCATATGCTCGGATAATACTTAAAGATATTTAGATGTAGCAGAAACGTTTTTAAAAACCGTTACACGATCGAAAATATGCGCCGCAATCTGCGGTCCCGTTCTCGAGTTCCTATGATTGATATAGCACATGAGTATACATAACAGTGGTGAAAATTTGTAAATTTTAACACATTTCATGGTTTTATTAAATATTTCTACACACAGTATAACATTATTTTTTTTTGTATTTGTAAGAGGAAAATTGATAATTATCATGAGATATGAAAAAAGAAAAAAAAGAAAACAAACAAACAGCTACCGCCTGAAGGGAGATTATACACACACAAAAAATTGTATTCGTTTCGCGATGCCATTTTGAAACGGACTATAGAAATGCGAATGTGGTAAATAAAACGTCATTGTTTACATACGGGTCCTGTCGCGAGGTCCCGTTAAAAAAATTGTCACAATTTAGGTCAATCAATACACAAAATGGAAGTTATTATTGAATGACAGTGTACAGTTAAAATTCTACTGTATATAATATAAAAAGTTCAAAAATAATTAAATTAAATTATTCAATGGAACGCTGGGCGCAATGTTTTATGCGAAATGCGATATGCATTTATCCGAAATGCTTTTTGCTAAATGCGACATGCTTCACGCAAAAGACAACATATTTTATGCAAAATTCATGTCATTCATTTTATTTTGAACATTATTTTTAAGGGTGAGAAATGAGGAAAAACAAATTACAAGATTTGATACAGAAATAGTTTAAAAAAGGGGTTAACAGCAAAGAAATTTTAGCTGCAAGAGGAATGAATGAGGAGGTAGCTAAATATCTTTACTTAAAATAGTATTGTCAATAATAAATTATGAACCCCTTGTTCACTATAGAAAGTCCTGTTTCAAAAATTAAAATTATACAGCAGAAGATGAGTCAGGGCAGAGATAGTTTTCTCACTATGTATGTATTCAATATTCTAATCAGAATAAAAGAGAACAATTTTAGTTTTACTTTTGAAGGTACAAAGTTTGTAAAACATGAGAAATGTAAGAATATAATAATTTATACCCACACTCATGGAGTGTTTATTGTAATTATTACACAGTAACAAAATATATCGGGCATGTTGTCTATTTTGTTTATGTGCGTAGGACTTTTTTTAAAAACTTTATGACAAATGCTCAGTTTCTTGTGAATTGTTTCTGGTCCCTTAGACATTTAAGTGACAAAGTTAAGCCGCATGCTATTTCATGTTACGAGAATTTGGGTTCCCCAAAGTATTTTTACTTGCTAATGATTAATTTAAAGATTTCTTTTCTCGGTGTTAGAACAATACAACATCATATGCAAGTCCTTAAGCTACATAGCCGAAAAGAAGAATCTTGCACTGATGCAATCATCAATGCAGTGATGGCAGAACTTTGTGGTATCAGCAGCAATCTAGGTGTGGGAAAAATATGGAGGAGACTTAGAAGAGAGCATGAGTTATTAGTTAAGAGGTATTTTTTTTTGAAGAAACCGACTTTTTCATTGGAAATTATGCAAAATAATGTACAGAATGGAATCGAAAAATAAATAAATTGCTATGGTTAGTTTACAGATAGCTTTCTGTCGTTTATTTTATATTATAAATGCTGACTTTCCGGGACGATTTTATCCTGTGTTCATCAAACGTCAAAATACGGTTAAAGAAGTTGCTGAATTTACAGGCCAGATTGCATGTCTGTAACATGTCTGTCATGACTTTTTTGGAAAAATATATAACGTCCATTTTTGTCACAGTTACTTGTAAAAAACGAACAGTAGCACGTGACTCACTTTTTTATCAATAGAATAATACTAGAAAACTGATAAACTGACGGGAACCAAATATGTAATTTTTAACTGTTTTGCTGTATATCACCAATAAAGAAATTAAACATTTGAAAATTTTACAATATATAAATGTTTGTATTTTTTTTTTAAATTTTTTATCGAGAAACCTCTTATACTGCAGATGAATCAACAATCTACACACAAAAAATGCTGGGCTTTATGGGTTTTAAATGAATGTTTTTCTGCAAAGAGCTGAAGTTCCATGTATAAATATGGAATCATCATCGGTGGTCAGAAATATTGAAAAAATGCTAGATGCTCAAGTGGTGTCCCCTACTTTTTTTATATCACCGTCCAGAGTATTATGAAGCAAACATGAGAAATGGTAAACACTGGTAAACACCCACATAAGAACATTGCTTAATGACTGTACAAAATCTTCCCATTCATACAAAAGTTAGCGATTTTTGATGTGTACCGATTACTTTCAGGGTGAATGGGCCTTTTTTAGCTTATCATCCCTCGAATAGTTATGTGTTTATCAAGAAGACATTCAAGGATGCAAATACTAACCTGTTTTCAAAGCTGATTGTAGTCCCGCCCTGTATGCCAAAATGAATAATAAATGCATAATTATTCAAGTCACTTGGGGACAACACTTTTCACAGTAAAATGTTTGTGACTTATCAATATAAGTTTTGAATGAAAGAAATTTATTTACAGCTAAGGTTTGACTTTATTTACACTTTATTTTATTGTTTTCTTGGCTATTTTGTTTAAAAATGTTACATGTTTCAGCATCAGCTAGGAGTTAGATTTAGTGGTTATTATTTTTTGTTTTGGGTAAATTGTGGTATTCTGCACCATTCCTAAATACTTTTTTTTATAAATTAAAATGAGATATACTTTTTTTTTCTGATTGTATAAAGGATATTTTGGTTGTTTCAGTGTTAGAGTTCAAAAACATTTTTCACCCGAGTGGAACACTAGATGCAAATATTTTCCACGAGTGGTGTAGGCACAAGTGAAAATATGATAGCTGGGCGTTTAAAATATTATTTGATCTTACAATGAAAAACCAAACAAAAGTTTGTGATTATTGCATTATTTTTAACGATTTTTATACCATTTAATAACTGTTTTCTTTTTTGCCCGCGTAAAATCGTCATTAACCGCCTGTGTTAATGGAACGCCCATCAAATAAATGACGTCACAATGTTGAAGCAAAAATATAATTCCAATGATTATTTTTAGAATGATAGTTGTTTTTTTTAGAACATGGGTTTCAAAAAATTTTGGGGAAGGGAGCTACAGTTATCCCCGAAAAATTTTTTTTTTAAATAAATTAAACCAAAATTACAGCTGAAAAATTTATTTCATTCTTGTTAATTTAAAATTTTAAAAGTATTTTTTGGCAAACTTTGAGGGGGTTATTAAAATTATACCCATTTCTTTGGCATAAAAAATTTTCTACCCCCCTCGGGGAAAGGGGCCGATACTTTTTCAAAAAATTGAAAAAAAAAAAAGAAAAAAAAACACTTCGGGAAAAAAAGAAAACTTTTCTGCCTTAAAAATTTTTCACAATTGAAATTATAAATTTTGAAATCTTTAATAAATTTTTCCCAAAGTATATCCGGGTATTTTTTGACTTCTAAAAAGCCCAATAAAATTTAAGAAGCTTTGCATTCTTTCTTTTAAAATAAAAATGTTTCTCATTTTAAACCGGGTTGTTTTTTTTTTGGAATTTTTTGGGTTTTTTCCTTAAAGCAGGGTGTTATCCCAATTACGTCCCAATTTTAGAATTTTTTTATTTAAAAACATATAATTTATTTTACCGTGATGAAAGTTGTTGTTTTTTCCCTTTTTTGGGGCGATAGGGACCCTGAAAAAAGGTTTATTTTTTTGTTTCTGGTTCGGGGTAGTGACGTGTTTTACTTTGTTTTTTTTTGCCGGTTACCATAATACGTGTTTTTAACCAGGTAGTTGTTTTCCCTTGGGTTCCCAAAATAGGGGGAAACCTTTGATGACAGTTGTTGTGTTTTCGGGTTTGGGCCGAAAAGTACGCAAATTTACTGGTTTTTGGGGTTCCTTTTGTCATATATACGTGTTTTACAGGGTTGTTGGTTTTCCCTTTTTGGGTTGCCATAATGACTGCCCTAACAGGTTTTGTTTTTTGTTCCGGGTTTTGATTTTTACTTTTGATGATGGTTTTTTTTGTTTTTCTTTTTTGGGGAAAAGGTGAATTTGAGGGGAGGGGGTTTTTTTGTTTTTTCCTTGTTCCCATTTTGGGGGACGTAAATTACAGGTTTTTTTGGTTTTCCCGGGTTGGGGGAATTTGTGCCGTTGAATCCCAGGTTTGTTTGTGTTCCTGGTTGCGTTTAAGGTGACGTGTTTTCAGGTTTGTTTTTGTTTCTGGTTGCGATGTGAGGGTGATGATAGGTTTTTTTGGGGTTCCCCGGGGTTGGGGAAAATTAAAACGGGGAGACGGGTTTGTTTTTGTTTTTTTGGGTTGCCTTTAGTGACGTGTTACAGGTTTTTTTGTGTTCCCGGGTTTGGGCGTTTAATGCCCGTGGGGGCCCGGTTTTTGGGGTTCCTGGTTGCGTATTTTAGGGTAAATTAAAAGTTGTTGTTTCCTGGTTGCGAAGTACGTGAAAACAGGGTTGTGGTGTTCCTGATTGCGATATTTACGTTTTTTTAAACAGGTTGTTGTTTTTCCGGGGTTGGGGAAATTTAACTTTGATTTCGGGTTTTTGTTGTAATCCTGAAGTGCGATTTTAAGTGTTTTTAAAAAGGTTTTTGTTTTTCCCTTTTGTTTGCAAATATTTGAGTTGTTTTACATGTTGTTGGGGTTCAGTTTCGATATTTTTGACGTAAAATTAAGGTTTGGTTTTTTTTCCCCTGTTTGCGATAGGGGGACGGGATGAAGGTTGTTGTGTTTTTTGG